AATCATATCTTAACCAAATAGTTTCACTAGATTCTTACACTAGTTTATAGCCCAATCCCATTCTACATGGAAATTCCCTAGCTCTCAGTTTGTACAAACAGCTAAGAAATAGGAGGCATGTTTTTTATCTTCATCTGCTTTATAATTTTCTAGAGCTTCTCTTTAACAAAATGCCTTTCTATGTGCATTAAGTAATATGTTAAACATACTGTATGTGAGATATTTATGGGAGTAACCACTATGCTTTCTTTATATCTCCAAAATAGCAGTGACCAAGAAAGATAAACTTTGACCTTTCATTTGCACCATTGGTAAAATATGGAAATCAGCAATTAGAACTTGAGGTTTAAAGAAATATAAAAATTAGAGCAATTATAGAAACAATTCTTTAAAATATCTGTTTTGCATTTGTCAAAGACATGTTAGAAAATTCATTTATAACACTACCATAAATGTTATTTTACTTTAATGTAGGTTTTAATTTCTTTTGAAACTCTCTTAAATATTGTTTTTTAAAAAATAATGTAATGTAGATGCCATTTTAAAAGGAAGATTCTTTGCAATAGAATCTCTAATATTATATTTAAAATTGCAGAAATAGCATCTCTAGTGTTTACCATTTCTACAACATAGCAATATATTTATTGTCCATTTTAAAGGAAAGTTTTCCTTTTTTAATAAAACAAAAGTAAATTGTATTGATATAGACAGAAAGTGATGGTATGCTCTCTTACTTGTAACAGTTAGCATACATTTGCATTAAAATTTTAAATAAGTTTATTTACTGTTGCTAATACATATGAATGGAGTAATGTTCATATGCCAAGCTTCCACAGTTTATGTTATAGTACACAAAAATTAGCTCCTCTTAAAAAGACGAAGAAGATTTTTTAAAAAAAAGCTTTTTTTATTTTTTGGAAATGTTATATTTCTACTTAAGAAAATGGGCCCACTCAGTGGAGTTTAAATCAAATTTGCAAAAAGATTATGGAAAATTATTGATCATTTCTTGAGGAACTGAATGAAAACGTATCAATCCACATTCTCCCACCCAATTCAATGATAATCATGCCATTCAATTACATAAATATTTAAGAACATTTACCTTAATGCAAGTATTGAAAGAAACATCTACCAGAAGCCTTAGAAAGACAGAATTTTTATCAGCCATCACATTCATATCCAAACCATGTAAAAATATGAGTTTGACTTGTTACCTGTATAAAGAAGTGCATCATCTTGTACCGAGAGTTTTTTTTCAATCATGACACATATAAAAATCACTTCTGCCCAAAGCCATAGCACCCCATTTTAAAATAAAATATCTAGGTTCCCATTAATATACTATCTCTGAGTATTCCCAGACTTTCAACCAAAGAACCACTAAAAGCATTCCCAAGACACCATCACCTTTCTGTAAATGGTACTTTGTACATGAATGCCCCCTAGTTTCAGCAAATTATATTCTACTGTCCATGAATTTCTAATCCTTTTTGAAAAAGTTACATAATTTTAGAATGTATATATATATATATATACACACAAACACATGCAAACATATATATGTACGTATCCTTAAATCCTAACTGAAATTATTATTTAGATTGCCAAATACTTTGTCTCTGTTTAAATGGCTTTGGCCAATTTAAATGAAAAAAAAAAATCAGTTAAAATCAGGCACATCAAGTATTAAACTTTTGATACAGATTCATTCATGACAAAATAAATTATTTGAAAATTTAAAAATATTACAACTACATAAGATATTTAATTTTTAAAAAATATTATATTTTCAGAAGAATGCATGCAAGACCCATACCTACATTACACAATGGCAGAAAATCTAACTTTGGTATGGGTTTCTTGTCATAGTAGACAAAGATTTGCTCCATTATATAATCAAACTGCTTTACTGTTTTGTTCTCCCCAAATTATTTAATTATTACCATTAGAAAAATAAATATTATTTTTCAATTTGAAATTAATGATACCTCTTCTTGGCTGTTGCATAAACTGGAAATCATAAAAACTGTATTTCAGTCTCATATAATTGTCTGCATTAAATGTGTGTTCTTTAAGATTAAATGGCTCTAAAACTCCATTTTAGGAATTTGCTAAAAATTATTTTAATACACTGACATCAAAGTGATGAACTGAAATTATGTCAATGGTGTTATTAGGCTAAGGGGAAGTTCAAATTAACTTTCAGATTTCCAACACATTCTATATTTTATTTTGTTAATCTTCCAGCTCATCTTGCATATAATTAATACACGCATATAATACTATTTTTTAGTTTTATTTTCAGTCTAATATGCAAATCATATAAATACATTGCTATTCATTTTCATATTTCTTGATTAGAACTATCTGATAATAGATGGAATAACTAATATTCTGAATTGTGAAATGAAGTTCAGAACTACTCAGCAACAGCTCTCAATCATGTGATATTTTTGTGAAAGTAGGATTTTCCCTATATATTAGCAGTCTTCAGTTCTGATAAAAATACCTTAAGGCATAATTATCATATTTACTCTGAAACATCAATGAGATTTACTGAAATATCCTGTCAAAGGGAGAAAAAAGAAAGATTGTATGCAATTGTGACATTAGACTATTCTGCGGGATAACAGAGTAATAATTTTCTATAATATATCATTTAAGTTCTCTCTGCAATCCACTCACTATATACTGGAATTAGTTCTGATTTCCAATATACAGATGTTTAATTTTTTGGAAGTATGTGAAAACTAGTCATATCCATCTTTTTACATATTATTTCTATAATTAACATTTGCAAAGAGTCATGAAAATAAATGTCACAAACCAAACCTAAACTTTCATATTTTCCTAACACAGTGGAGAAATGAGACAACAAAATCTTATTTTTCTCACATGGAGGCAGCTGGCTTCCTTTTTGTACATCTTTTCATGTCTAAACTTGTTAATTCAGTTGTACATACACATGAGGTAATTAAGTGATTATTATCCCTTTGTCCTTGTAACCAAAAGGTGGTACCTCTAAAAATCAGAGTTAGCTTTCAACAGAGACACTATGTGTTTTAAAAAAAGTAATTTAAATGTCAAAGCCCTAGAAAGAAAATCTTTTTTTTTTGTGACTTGGTAATTCTGCTTAGGTAGGAGAGATCATTGCCTCAAATGGAAAATGGTTTTGAAAATAGTACACATTATACTGATGGCAAATGAATCCAGCTCTTTTCTAAGTTAGTGTGTAAACTTACATATTAAAGATACTGGTGAAAAAATACTTTCTGAGATATAAAATTAGAAGGTCAGAGTTAAGATAGAAGATTCCCTTTTCTTATATCAAGTGGACATCTAGAAGAAAAAAAGTAAGACTGTATTTCCTCTGATAAATAGAAAGAAGTGGTTTGTATACTAACATCTGCTGATTTTTCTGTGTTCAGGTAAGACTCATTCGGAATGCTTTCCTATTACATCTAACGAGGCACTTCTCTACACCTCCTTCCATCTGACAGTCTCATCGCTTAGCTGTCCCTGATGAATAATAGGAAAACAAAGCTTGTATCTCCAATGATGGAATTAGAGACTGCTGAAGCTGCTGTAAAAGCTCTGTCCAACAAGTACCATTTACTTGACCTATTATGCAGGCAGCTAGGGGCATGTTGCTAGTTTGATATATTTTTCCTTCTTTTAACAAGACGTTACAAAAATGTTTTCCCCTTCGGGATTTTTAAAATTTAGGCTATCTTTCTAGAATTACTTTCTAAACTTTGTTCCAGTACAGGAGGATTCTTGTCCAACTGACCCTCCATGTGCCTTCTAAAGGGAGTGTTGAAATTGTACAAACTTCATGTTTACATCCATTAAATATTCTCCTATTAAAAGAAAATAAAGCCAGGCATAAGCTTGGTATCCAGACAATAAAATGTAAATAGATAGTAGAAAGGAGGAATACAGTGAAAATTCGTACACAAGTGTAGCTTCCATACAAAAGTTAAACAGTTGCTTTATTTCACCGAAGGGTTAATACGGGAGAAAGTGAGTATCAACTTGTACACAAGGCTAACTAGAAGATTAGCTTTCTCAAAGTAGAAATCTAAGCCCCCCTATAGAACTGTTGTCCCTTGCAAATGTTTTGAAACTTTACATTTTTGATCCTCCAACAACAGGCCAGACCAAGGAACCTCAGGAAAGTAATAATATATTTTTAATTTTTTTTCTTACTCAAGGAACCTTTCAAAGTTCAGATATTAACACTGATGTGCAATACCAAATTGTCAGCCCCACAGGACAGATGGAAACAGGAAAAGTCAGATGGTTGGCACTCAAAAGCAACAGCAATTAAGCAGTTGAAAGTGGGTTGGATTGTCGATTTATTTTTGTTCCATTTGAACGAATCAAGTGAGAGACATAGCCTCTTGCAAGGAGGAAATCAAGTCAAACTTGACGCTTCCTCTCCCTGACAGCCCAAGCTGGATGGCTCGTCTACACCCTTTATTCAGTTTAATTGTTTTCTGTGCTCTGATTTTCGCAGAGGTTGTATTCTACTTTGTTTACGCCCCCCATCCCTCTCCTCAACAGAAATAAATCTTTCTCCTTTCTTCACTCCCCTTCTTTCCTGTAAGAAAGACAATCCTCTCCAGGAGGAGAAAGAAACCCTGTGCATGCTTAGGGTGGGAGGTGGGCGGGGGGGAGGTATGGGAAAGAAAGAGAAGATTGAGACTGGGGGTGGGGGACGGAGGAGAAAGAACAAGAGAAGGAAAGAGGAAGCAAGAAGATGGGGGATGCCCAACATCAACTCCAGGCTCTAAATCACGGGCGCTGTGCAAAGTGCTTTTCCAGGAGATGCACATGTAGTCTCATATTTCTCACAATAGGCCACCCGGGGATCCCTCCCTAGGTCTCAGACTTCCACCACTAAAACCCAAGTGTATTGAAAGGAAAATCTTTGGGATGGATTCGAGCAGATAGGCACCGCCGAGGTGGCCGCGCCGCTAGTCCCGCTTCCTTACCTGGAAGGCGGACCGGGAGGTGGTGCCGGGTCTCCGTCCCCAGTGCTCTCCCCGCGTGGACCGGCGCGAGGCACACGCGTACTCTCGCTGCCTCCGCTCTTGGAGGGGCAGCCTGCAACACAAAAGGGGTGTGTGGGTGTGGGTGTGTGGGAGGTTTTCCAGGGCCACCAGCTGGTCCCAGCTGGCCGCCCCCACCCTTCACACACCCCTTCGGGGCGCCGAGCCCCTTCTTGGCTGAGCACCACCCTGGGGTCTTGCCCGGGGTGCAGCCTCAAGTTGCCGTTGCTAACTGCTGCTGCTGCTGCTGCTGCCGCTGCCGCTGCTGCAGGAGGAGGTGGAAAGACACTGGGGGCAGTACTCGGTCTAGAGCATCCCCACACTGCAGCTTCTCCAGGAATCCCTCCAGTGAGGAGGCGGCCGCCCATCACCTCCCAGCCCCAGCATCGTGATTGGCTCCACCTCGGGTACGCTGCGCCAAGGAACCAATCCCAGCGCACTAATAATAGGTGGATCCGCTCAGCCAGCATCGCCCATCCCAGTTCTGTTAGTGTCTCTCCATCCCCACAGCGGACAGCGACTTAGGAAAGGGGGTGGAGGCGGGTTGAGGGAGGGGGCGAAGTAAGAGGAAAACCGATCCCAAGGAGACACAATCAAGGGCATCTGATAAAACCTCTGGGTAGACTCAGGAATGCCCCACAACCTGTTCAGCAAGCCATATGCACAGGAGAAAGAGAGCATAATACAAAGCTTTTTTATTTTTTTTGTACTTTCAATGAAAACCTGCCCTGATACTGAGCATGCCCAGACTGCAACAGCGACCCAGGAGTTTCGATGTGTGTGGGTTCGCCAGCTGTGGGTTTTTGAAAAGCCGGGACTGGGGACTGGAGAGGCAGAAGTTTGTCTTTGGCCATTTAACCCAGCGGAGTTGTGAAAGCTGGGCAGGGTGGGGACCTGAAAGGGTTCCGCACAACTGTCCTCAAACTGAGCCGCGGGGAGGTGGCCCGCCAGCCTATCCGAGGCTCATCCTGCTATTCTTCTAGGGTTCGGGGTTGGGAGCGAGGGTGGCAGAAGCTGAGCTCTGCTGGAAACCTGGAGACTTCCTGAGAAGGGTGCGGTGGAGCCGAGATGCAGGAGAAGCGGCTCCGTCCCATAGGTGGGGCCGGGAGCGCGACTCCACCCAGCAGCGGCGGCTGCCAGGCCGTGGAGAGTGCACTGGGAGTTTCCATCGCGGCGACCGATAAGTTTGTAGACTTGGATCAAGTGCGGACATTGTTAGGAATGCTTTTTATTTTTTGCCACCTCCCTCCCCCATCTCTCTCGACCCCTCGCCAGAGCAGTGACGGCTAAGGCATAGATTCTCTCCCTGCTTCCTCCTTTCCCAGCTGAACCGTTCTGCTCGGAAGTAAGAAGCTTTTCCCTTGTGAGGGCGGTGGTGACCTGATTGTCTCTAAGCTCTCAGGCAATTTATAGCTTTGTAATACCGAGATACCGAACAGGAAGGCTCAGCGGGTTGGGGGAAGGGACCGCGCGCCAGGCTAGGGGCGGGAGCGGAGCCCAGCTCTGAGAGGGAGGGGTCCATCATCATCTGCTCCACAAGTGAAAGGCTTTCAAAACGCAGAGAACTATTTCCCTTTCTCACTCCCTCAACATCTTTAAAGGCCTTTGAACCTCTTACTTGTTTTACTTAGAAACCCTAGTATTTTGTGTAAACTTGATCAATAGCTACAAATAAGAACTCTCCTAATTGAGTTCTTTATTTTACTGAGATTATCTTGGCATCTCAGGTAGGGAAACAAATAGCTATCTCAATTCCCCAAACCCATCCAACTTTGAACTGGAGTTTTATTAACATTGGTGTGCAAAGGTAAATGTAGCAAGAATTCAATTAACAGTAACACATTTCTTCCGGTTTTTAATTAAATCTCTTCTACTTATGTAATGTTTAAGATCCTTATTCTAAGCATATGAGAAAAGAAGGCAACATGGTATAAATGTATCCTTCTAAGTGACAAATACTTGAGTTTTGGTTATGCTTGAAAAACAGGAAGTTTAACATTAGAGGTAGAAGTGTAAAAATAATGCACCCCAGGGGCCGGGCGCCCTGGCTCACCTCTGTAATCCCAGCACTTTGGGAAGCCGAGGCGGGTGGATCACGAGGTCAAGAGATGGAGACCATCCTGGTCAAATGGTGAAACCCCGTCTCTACTAAAAATACAAAAAATTAGCTGGGCATGGTGGCGCATGCCTGTAATCCCAGCTACTCAGGAGGCCGAGGCAGGAGAATTGCCTGCACCCAGGAGTCGGAGGTTGCGGTGAGCCGAGATCGCGCCATTGCACTCCACCCTGGGTAACAAAAGCTAAACTACGTCTCAAATAATAATAATAATAATAATAATAATGCACCCCAGACTTGTAACTTTATGTGAATATTCACTTTCCATTTTCCAAAACGGTCTCCAAATCTTATTTTAAAATAATTTCATAGTTGGAGAAAAGAAGATAATAGAAGTTGTTCTAAATTTTGTTTCAATTATTTAGTGAAGAAGAGGAGAAGAAGATGAGAACAAGGAAAAATAACAGGAGGAAAAGGAGATGAAGCAGTTGGAGGAGGAGGAATGGGAGGAGAAGGATTATCCTATTTACCAATAGCTGCATGTAGAAAAAATGTATGCTTATTTTAGAAAAAATTAGTCATCAGAATACAAATACAGATTTTAAAATTTCTGCTCCAGACCCTGATTCTACCATCAATATTTTAATCAATTTCTTTTCCTGTTTACTTCACATCTTACCTAGCAATCATTCTCTTTCTCTAACCAGAATCCTTGGCAACATGAATGGTATCAGAGGTTTGTATCCCAATATTACTTGAGGGAGACTGCAGGCTAAATTAAGAAATGGGTTTTACATGTATATTGTCCTAAACTTTAGAATTAATAGCATTCTCTGTACATAAATATTTTGAAGACTCTATTTAAAGAGTAGCTGTAGATATACTAAGATTTTTAACTCTCCCTCCATTCTTAAGTTCTCCCCAAGCTCTTGGGAATGGGTTATGTCCTCCTGGTTCTGGGCTGACACAACATCATACTTTGCAGAGAGTGTGTATCATCTTTGTCTATTGTAGCCACCTCATTTTTATTAAACAGAAAATCGGATCAATTGTTCTATCTTTCCCTATGTCACTCTTATTATCCCATTACTTAAGTACTTTTATATCTAGAATTCCTATGTCTTTTGCTATTGAGAATTAGCTTATCCCCTGATTGTATGGTATTTAAAAGATATTACTTTCAGAACTTTAAAAAAATCTATTTTAATGGTTTGTTTCCTCTTTCTTTGTTAAAAAAGGTGTTATTAATTTTGTCTTTACATTTTGCTCTGATCAAGATCTCATTTTCAATATTTTCTTTATTCCTTTTTTATTGGATTCATCTATTTACTACTTTCATGCTTCCTTTGCCATCTATTTTAGGCTACAGGAGCAGAATAGAAACTAAATTGGATTGGGGCACTGATGAGAAAAATGTGTCTTATGGCAAGAGTGGGAATTAGGGACTTTAGAACTAGAAATTCATTAAGTAGAAACTTAGCCAAGGTTTCTGTAAACCACAGAAAGAATACTTAACATGAGAGAGGTATCAAGAAAATTCCACATGTTGGTGGAAAGGCCTGAATTTCCTGGTTGATCAATGATACTAAAGAGTTACATTTAATCAAGGTTCATACATCTTTAAACTTTATATCTTTAGTAGCCACACTAGTTGTCTGGTAAAAGCTATTTATAAATATCATTACTCAGAATTGTTTTTTAAATAAAAATAATTGATTTCTCTAAATTTTTCTTTTTTTAAAATATAGATGCATATCTTATTATTCTTTTCACTTTATATCTGTGTTTTTCAAGATACTTACTTTTTGCTCTTTCTCCAGGATAGATAATTAATTAAATATTTTCTGGTGTCAAAATTTGGGTAGAATTTCAGCTTCACCACTAATTGACTGTCACCTTGAAAAATGTGCAAAACTCCTCCAAGCCTCAGTTTTCTTATCTAAAATATGTACATAAGAACATAACACTTATCTTTTTTTTGTATTTAAAAAAGCAATGCACATAAAGTGCTAGTTCCAAGCACATAGCAAGAACTTAATGACTGTTATTATCATTTTATCATTATCATTGCTGCTACTTCTGCCACTACTTCTTTTTTCAGATTTCTGGGTTATGGGGTTTCCTCCCATCATCTCATTCATTTAAGCCAATAGTGAGCCATAGATTCTTCACTTATAAGCATTAAAGGTAGAAGGGTGTTAATTCATGTTATAAGAACTTTGACTTACTTTTTGATAGGAGGAGACAAGGTCTTACTCTGTAGACCACACAAGAGTGCAGTGCATCTTCTTACCGATTTCTTCAAGAGCTCTTCTTTCTCCCTCAGTACCTGCTTAAGTCTTCCTATTTTTTCATCTGTAATGGTTTCTTCTAACTCTCGTGGTGTCACTGGGAAAACATCTTCAGTATAGTTTTTATGGAAGGAACGACTTTGTTCATAAGCTGCATTTGAATTCAATGTGCCTTTCTCTTGCTTCTAATGGGTATAGTATTCTATCTCAGTTCTCTTTTCTTGTCTGATTTTGCTGTGACTGGTGAGAGTATTATGTTGTGACACATCTGAAGTTGGTAAACTACTGCTTAGGGGTTGAGAACTGATGACACTAACTCCTCCATTTATGTTTGTGTTAGAAGCATTCTCTGTTTTTCTCTTCTCTGTGTGATCCATCTTCTTTTTTATTTTTATTTTTATTTTTTTAAGTATCTATTTTATTGCTTTTTAGGTTTTGGGGTACATGTGAAGAACATGCAATATTGTTGCATATGGTTTTTGCTTTTCTTTTCTTATGAAAATTCTGCTGTTTTGTCTCCTTCCTTTACCATAAACTCTGTCTCTTTGTAAGTACCACTCTTTACCAAACTGCTAAAGGAATCAAAACCTTCTCCAGAGGTCAAATTGTCAGGAATTTGAGTAAGACACACTCTCAAATCTTTAGTAAGGCCAAATGTCTTTTTAAATTCAGCATCACTCTTCAGATGTGATGCCTTATTACTTCTTCCTTGAAAATATTTCTTGTCATTTCTTCCTTGGGTATCTTCTATTGATGTTGATACCATCTCATTACGGATCAATGTGAGGCATTGCCTGAATTTTCCTCTGCGGGTTTCAGGAAGACCCTCCACAAGTTATTTGACATTTTAGTGGAGAGGAAGGGGACACCTCTTCCAGGAAAGTAGCTCACTGCAGCCTCGACTTCACAGGCTCAGGTGATTTTCCCAGCATAGCCTCTTTAGTAGCTGGGACTACAGGTGTGTGCCACCATGCTAGGCTAATTTTTTGCATTTTTAAAAAATAGAAACAGGATTTTCCCAAGCTGCCCAGGCTGGTTTTGAATTCCTGGGCTCAAGTGATCCTCCCACCTTGGCCTCCCAGAGTGCTGAGATTATAGGTATGAGCCAACATATCTGGATGCAGAAGTTTTTTAATAT